GAGAGAGAGAGAAAGGGTGGGAGAGAGGGAGGGAGGGAGGGAGAAGGACAGAGAGACTCAGAATTTTGAATAGTTTCTTTGCTAAACTCACCATCTGGAGAGCCTGTGATTGATTAGCTTTGGCCTCACCATTAAGTGTCAATATAATCAATGGGAATGACTAGGCCAGGGTCATTACATAGATAATTTGCCTGCTGTGTAAATAAAAATGAAATTGTTTAAATTTTGTGAGAGAGAAAGAAAGTGAAAATAAGGAATGACAATTTGTTTGTTAGAGAAAGTGGAGGCCATTGGAATGACAGTTTTTGGAAGTGTGGAGCAGTTTGGCTAAGAATAGGAATGAAGGATATTTTTTTCCAGTTTATCATCGCCAGAGTGAGGACGTGTTATCCCTCTCTTGCTTGCACACATTGCCAGTAGTGCCTACTTTACGTATGTAAACATCGGGGAAGAGAAGTAGATGTCTGTTACCTGCAGGAGATTTGTTTTTAAAGGAAAAGCACGATTTATACTTTTTTTGTTGTTGTTTCTCTTGGCAGGTAAAACAGAAAGGGGCTCATACTCATCTTATGGGAGAGAATCAAACTTACAGGGTTGCCACCAGGTAAGTGTGACTCTGGGCTGGGGAAGGGTGTAGAGGATTAACCTGGGGATATCAGCGTGCTTTGTAAATTTGATTTTACATTTTCAACTGTGACACTGAAGATGCACTGAAAGTCTGCTGGTGATGGTGTGTAAGTCTTGGAAGAATTCAGAGCTTAGAACTGATAAGCACCTCATCTTTAGATCTCTGCCGTATCAGGACTTCATCCACTGGCTTGTTTTTATTTTTTAATCCATCAGCCTGCACCAGTGGCACTGTTTGCAAACCAGCAATGTGGCTAGAGTGGTTCTATCAAAAGAGTTTATTTGCAATTAAGAACTTAAGAATTTCTCGCACAGGAAATGCTTCGTGGAACCAAGTGTCAGACCCTGGGTTCGGGTGGCTAGTGCCCTAAATTATAGTTTTCCTAGGGACTGTATGATGTTGTGTGAAAACAGGGTGGTATTGAGGGATAAAAATGTCTGTGAAAATATGATTTGTTGTCCCTTTTTGTTTCTGAATTGTTTTTGGCTGGAAGTCAAGGCCAGCAGGCTAACAGCAAAGCCGTCTCGGGAAGCATGCGTGAGCTAGAAAAATAGGAGCACTTTAGTTAAATAATAAAATGCCAGTGTGATACAAAGGTGTAGTGTGCGTGCGTGTGCCCGTTGCACTCTGTGTTTGTGTACTTCTAACTCTCTGGAGAGAGCCCATTTCTAAAAATACTACCAAGGCTGAAGAGGAAGGTTCGTTTCGAGACAATTGAGATTTTTATAGATGCTTTCTTTTTCATTTCAATATCAGTATTGATCATATATTTAATTTGTTATACCTCCTTTTTATAAAAGCATCAGTCACTTACTTTGGAGAACTCTGGTAGAATTTGATGATACTCTTTCATATTCAAAGCTCTCTACTGTTTTTTTTTTTTTTTTAATTCACCCAAACAGAAGGTTCGTCTTTCTATACTGGAAAAGGGATGCTTAGTCTTTTGAACTCTCTCACCCTCCCAGTTTCTTTAATGATATGGGGGAGAAAATCCATTTGGGTTTTTTAAACAACCTGTTTAATATATCCCTGAGAAATGTAAGAACACATGCGCTTTAGTAATGAAATAGAGTGTCTGAAGGAAGGATCATTTGTGTACCAGGCATCTATCATGAAAGGTGGAATTCTGGTGGGTTGGGTTTTTTTTTTTTTTCTTTTTTTTTCCTTCTCCCTGTATACATTTGCATTTTTAAAGTTGACTCCTTTGGCCCAGTTGCCAATTCAGTCACATTTGGCATCTAAAAGATTTGTTGCGGTGAGGTGAACAGTGCTTGGGTAGGACTCCTGCCGGAGTGCAGTCCAGGGCAGTTTATTTGGAAAGAATTCTGCAGGAAAGAAATTTACAGCCATTCCAGCGCAACGGAAACATCTTTGGAATGTGAGTGCACATGTTCGGGGCAGATAGCCTGGGCGACAAGCCTCTCAGGGTTGGGTCTCTGGTGTAAAGCTCTCAATTCCTGCAGAAGAGCCGGTTCCTGTGGATCTGGTTTCTGAGGGTCAAGGCGGAGGTCACTAGAGTTTTGGGGAGAAGAAAGTTGACAACATCCTTCCTTTTTGCAGATGGTCATGGCAGAGGTCTCTGTTTTCGCTGGGCCCCTTTTGCTGGTCATTGAGAGAATAGGCTTCCTCGCCCCTGTATCCTTTCTTACTAATGGGAATTGGCGTGATTCCTCACAGACACAAAGATTTCCTCTGCTGAGTAAGCGTGAGGCCCCTTAACTTGTGAAAGCATCATCTAGACCGTGTGAGTCTGTCTGTGTGTGCAGAACACAGACCCTCCTCCGTTGGTGGGGAATACTTCCCTCGGGTGAAACTGAGCTTAATTTTTTTTGCAAACACAAGGTGAGAAGTGGAGAGGGGCAGAGGGGGGAATCGAGGTGGCTGGCTGCTGTCCGATGCCTGAATTTCTGGGCCTTGGGAGGTTCCTTTTGAGACCTCCTTGTCCAGGAGAATTCTTTTGTGTATGGGGAATAAGACTGCATCTGCTTTTCTTAAAAAGCCTTCCTCCTCTCTCTAGCTGGGGAGTGTGCAGATTCCTTCCTTCTTATTTCTGCTTCATGGTTGGGAGTCTTGCAGGAACCAACTATCCCTGTGTTCAGCTGGGTCTCAGCACTCTCCATAAACAGTGTGAATGCTTAAAAGAGAAACACTGGAAATTCCCTGCCTGGGGAACTGGGGCCTGGAGGCGAGGAGTGTACATGGTATGAATTTCTGCTTTCTGTGAAATTTGGGAGTAGAGCAGACCATAGGTTGTCTTCCAGGGACTCTCTTGAGCTGTTTTGTTCTTTGAATCCCCGTCTACCACACCAGCCACACAAACCAAAAAGAAAGGCACAATCTCGGTATCTTGGGCTTGAATCTAAATAGCTGATCACAGCTGAAATGGTTCCCTACTGTGTGATGAGGTGAGTGACTCTTGCGGGGACAGCTTTTGTTTTCTCCTGTTTGCTACTTTATTGAGATGCTGGACTAAAACTTTTGGCCAGTGGGCCCTAAGGAGCTCCAAGGCTGCTTTTTCCTATGATAATAGTGTGTCCCCGTGGACTTACAGGGATGAGCGGGGTTGCATGAGACATGCTGATTTCAGTCAGAAATTTTTGTTGGGTGCAGAGAATCAGTGGTGGTAAGCAACAGGTAGAGAAAGGCTGTGTGGAGAAATTGGTTGTTACTGTGAGATACGAATGATTGAAAAAGTGCGTCGGGTTAAAATATGTATAAATATGTATATGTCCATTATGTTTCTCTTGTGGATTTAATGTTGATAGTGCTAGACTCATGCATGACTTTTTAAAAGATGGATATTTTAGCGGAAAAACAAATGCCTGTAGGTTCAAGATCGTCAACTAAGTTGTTTTCATTAAAAATGTAAGTAATGATATACATTCATTAATGCATTCTGATATGAAATTATCAGACATAAACTTGATGACTTTTTTGAGACTTTTGAAATTGTGTAGAAAATGAACCAAAAGACAAATAAAAACAACCAAACAAGACTTTTAAAAGTTCTCACTAAATACGAGAAAACTGGTTTGAATCAAATTGGGGTACGGAAGTCACACCCAGGCTTAAAACTTTCTTGCCAAATTGCAACCTCATTCTACTTTTATTGGCAGAGAAAATGCGATTTATAATGGAAAGTATGACAGGAACGAAAATGAGTGGAAATAAACTTTTTTTGCAAGATAGTCCAATTTCAACCTGTGATAGCCAATACCTAATTTCTAGTGTGTATCATGGCAAATCACAGAAGAAGAATATCATTTGCTTTTGGCCTCTTGTCCTGCTTGCAATAGGATGTTTGGTGATTTGCAAACTTTTTAGTTTTGCCAATATTTTTTAGTTTTGAATGAGAGATGAGGTCAGTACAATGATTGTTGTTAGGGAAGTTTTTCCTTGAATGAAAGTTAGTATTCAGCGTGTGGAGTTGTTGTGACCCCCGCTCCCATCCCCTCACCAACGGGTTACAGCCTTAGTCTAAAACCGTGGTTTGTTAAAATAGTATTTCCTGGGCAAGATGGGTATGTGAGAGGGGGTAGTGGTGAGCGAGCTGAGTCCTCTATGAGATCAATTCTACTAGGACCTGACTTAGTACTTGGCCTGTGCTTTCTGACAGCACCCCAGGTGATTCTAATGTACAGCTAGGTTTGATTATTTCCTAGATTGTTTTATAGAAATATACTCTCTATGGTAATGACTCGCGTTCAAAATGTGGCATTTCTGCTGACCTCCATGAAGCTTTTAGACTTTGTGCCTTAATTAGATTATTTAAGGTATGGAAATACATTGCATATGACCTTCATTTAAAAGGCAGTGAAAATTAGTGATATATGGAAAATCAGCACCATGTCTTGAAATCTTTATATGAAATTTTACAACTGAATGTCCCCGCTCACATCTTGTTTTCTCTAGGGAAGGCCAAGCTTTACCCTCACCCAAGTTCATTTTCTTTCTCAGCAAGTAATCAAATAGGACTATGCTGATAAAGTTATTTGAAGTTTAGATCTTATAACTGACCGATGGATTTAAGAATTAGGCCTAATCTAGGATAGTGTTGTTAAATTCCAGAAACTTTGATGCTGTAGAGGAAATGGGATTTCTCTCTGTGTAACTTAGGTTGTTTATATTACTCATTTTTAATTTATTGAATCAAATGATTCAAAAAAATTACATATTTGAGAATTGATTTTTCTTTTAATTATTTTGATTTTTGATACAAAAGGTATTACAAATGACTTAATTCTAGAACTTTTGTTCTCTATAAGCTTTTCTTATCTAAAGTCAAAATAGAAAAGATATAAGTCAAAAGCCATAAAAACCTTTTGTCTGTTATGAAAATGGCTACTTAGGCCTTGTGTAAGCAGAAATGCATATTGCTGTTTAATTTGATATTCTGTCTAAGTGTTCTTAGTAATCAGTAATTCGGTCCCAAGTCCTATGCATTCTTCCAGGGAACCTCTGTTGTGCACCCCACCTGCCCCACTCCCTGTGATATACCGCCCTCGCACTCTGCCTTTCCTTTTTAGTAATTTTTCAGATTTGCCGTTATTTACGTATTTGTTGAATACCAGTTTCCACCAGGATTCTTAAACTCCTGGAGGGCAGGGGCCATGTTCACGTTATCTTGCACGCTGTACCATGTGCCTCCTAGTATCACTTAATTCCCTAGCTTCACTTCTGGAAAAGAGTGAAGTTTGAATTAGGGATGTACATGAACCCTAGAGTGAGCAAAGTCTTTTTTAAGCTTGTGAAAATCAGGAAAGCCTTCCCTTCTAAGCTACCACGTAGGCCCTGAGGGACACAGAGGTCCTACTGTGGAGAGACACTCCCTCCGGCTTTCTCTCTGCTGAATACTTACCTAGTGGCATCACTGTCCTAGGCCTGTGTGTGGGAAACGGTGTGAATGAGAACCTTGTGGATGCTCTCTGTTTCTGGTGGGTGTGGTATTAGAACCAAAGGTCAAAATCCTAGTCTGA